TGACGCGACGCCGCGGAAACCGTCGCTGAACGGGTTTGTGCAACGTGTAGCCCGGYTGCGTTCTGAGCCACTGACGAACCTGCCACGGCTCGATTCCTTTTTTTCGTGCTTGACGTTTCAGTTGTTGGTACCCGGCAAACCCTCCCGGTTGTTTGGGGTCGTAAAACGATCGATGTAACAGTTCAGAGATGTTCTTCTTTTTCGGTTTCGTCCATCGGGTCTTCTTTCGTTTCGTCTTGTTTGGGGGGAGGAGAGTCGACATTGTCGTCAATGACCACTACCGTTCCACCGCAACACGCAATCCAAMAMCGRAATCGTTTACACAAGTCAGAGATGCGTCCCGTAGGAGGCATTTTTGTGAGACTGAGGTCGTGGAGGATCTATATACCCGTAAGACACCGTCTTGACACCGCGACGAATGCGTTTGTCGTACACGACTTGAAAGACTTTTTCCAACTCGACCGTTTTCAKTTGACGTCRGAGCGGGTCACGACGAATGTGGTGGGGTAAGGTGACGCAAATCTCCGTTTCCACACCGTGCACCAAGGACACCATGGATTCGAAATTGACCTTTTCAGACGATGTCAGATTCAAGGGAATTCCCTTGCACTTGATGTCGGTGTGACCTTGACGAGTGCGGTAACCGTAACTCTTGGGYCCCGTCGACACGAACGTCTGAATRGAGTCCCCAGGTGGTAATTCCGACGTCAAGTCTCCCAAGTAATCCCCCAAAGGGAGTGGCGTGTCTCCTGAACGAGTGACGTAGATCAGAGAATCGGTGTCAAAGTACAAGGCACGTTCTTGCACACGCTCCAACATGTCGTACAACAGCAATGGGGCAAACGAGGTGACGAAATCAGCATGCACCACGCTGGCAAACGGACTGGATCGGATAAACTCGTCTTTCTTGTCGTACTGCAGTTGCACCAAATTGTCGGTGATCAACAGRAGRTGTTTGACGTCCACTTGACCTCCAAACATCAATTCGGCAAATCGCTTCGGGGAATCCACGTACTCGGTAGAGGGGAGAAACGGATTCTGACCAAATTTTCCCCACAGASTGTTCAAGAACARTTTGGCAAGAGCTCGCAATCCGGGATTGACTCGAATGTGCTGTTCGCGAAGACGAATTCCCTCGTGGGCTTCGTAGTCGTCCAGATAGCATCGACGATCTTCGGGAGTATTGCATCAGGAGGGCCACCCGGACGCTTCTTGTTTCAATTGCAAATACGTCTGCACGTACTTTCCAAACAGGGTCGTCGACGTTTGGGGGTAATGCCAGATCTCGTAGACGTCGAGAATCTTGTAACCGAGCTGAAGAGCTTTCTTCAATTCGGGGGTGGTCCACACGCCGACCACGGCACGCTCTTCGGAATTGTGACGACACTTGGACGTCTGATTCAGCTTTTCGGCACACGTTCGGCACAACACAAACATCARYTTRCCGTTCAAGTGAATGGGAAGCACGGGAAGGTACAGATCTCGAGGTGGDAGCACTTTGACTTTGTTCAATCCGTAGTAATCTTCCACGTTGAGAAGAGAAAAGTCTACGGACCGAAGGGCGATCTCGGGGTGACCCACGGGCTCCACCTTGACGCATCACCGACGGRTACAGCGACGTGAAATCCACGTAATGGATGGTCTCGTCKTCTTGGGCTTCGTAGTACAATTGTAGAGCATTGGTACGACCTCCAAACAACCCATCACGAGGTTCCAACGGGTCCGAGTACGATATCCAATCGGGAATAGTAGGTGGGGGATCGAGTGCGTCCCACGTATGTTCCCACATCTCCACCACGCGGTATCCGCCGGAACGCAACACCGTCGTGCGACGCTGGGTGTGATAGAACTTCTGACTGAACTAGCCCCGATCCCCATTCGATTCGGGGAAGGCCAAATGTCCAGGAAAACACACGGGGCATCCGTGAAAGTAACATCCATGGAATTGGTACACGGTTTGAGTGGCGGCATCGTATCCGTCGACGGGAGCTCCGAACACCACTTTTTCGCCTTAGGGAGACGAGACAAGCACGACTGGAGACGGAGGTCGCGTTCCCGGACTTGCAACCAATACAACCATCGTTTGGCTTTACGCGATTGTTGGACGAGACCCCGGTATCCTTCGTGAGGCACGATTCCAATCGAGTCCTTGGACATGAAATTTCTCCGGTACGCTCGCATGCAGGACGAAGCTAGCGTGATGCACTCGTGAAACGGATCAAACCCGGCCGTCTCCAGGAAGATACGACGCGCTTCCAACACGCCTCGTTTCAACAGCTCCACGTCTTTCTCGCAGTAGTACTCCAACTCTTTCTGAAAATCGAACGTTTTCCCCTGCTGATCGGCGTACCACGATCGAAGTTCCTGWGCCGACTTGGGGTCCATGGAAGCCACACCGTAGGTTTCGAGGGGAGGCATAGGTCCCACGTAGTCTTGGTTTTCGGGGCGGTTGAAAAAGTGGGGGAAATGACCTTTTTCTTCTGCCAGACCAAACGTCTTGGAAAACTTTCGCAACGCCATAGGGAGAAAACACAAAGAATCTTTGAATTTCATGTCGAGTCGTTTCAGGACCATGTACAAGAGTTTGGCACCGCGAAAYGTCACCTCGGGTCGTTCTCCACGAGCRCACAGGTACTCGAGCAAAAAGTACGAGTCGTACCCTTTGAAGTTGTGAGCCATGACGGTGAAGCCTCGATGTTCGGGTCGGAACAACCACTGGCAAAACTCGTCTCGCGATCGAAACACGCGCCGACGGTCCTGGCACACCGAGCATTCGATCGTTTCGTCGTGCAGGTACTGCGAACAGACTTTGTGAGCCACCACCAGATTGACTTCGTGGACCTCCTCGCCGGGCATCGTTTCCACGTCGAAGAACAAATACCGCACTTCCGTTTKATCGTCGTAGGTGCATTCTTCTCCAGAACACGAATGAGGAAACGTGACCCATTCTCCGCATTCTCCGCACTTTTGATCCATGACAGGCTGAACGTAACACCAGTGCTTGGGTCCCGTCTTCTTACAATAAGAACAGTACACTTCACCGCACACGTGGTCGTCGAGGTTTCGTTGGTCTGGTTGGCGAAAGGCCTTCTTTTTCTTATTTAGAACATCGATCACTTTGGCACAATCGGGACACTTTTGATACCGCTTGCACGTGCTGTAAACCAGCGTCTGTTTCTTRTCACGGTGAGGAAGAGCTTGAAGGTGRTTRGCATAACATCGTTCGCCTTTGAAAACGCGATGGCACCGATCGCACGTGGTCCACGTCTTGACCTCTTMCTCGTCCGGCACGCATTGATCTTTGTCAAAATAACAACATCGACAGATGGGGTGACACTTGTGTTTCGTTTTGCATTGATATCCGACATCCCACTTGAAACAGTAATAACTCCGTCCCAGAAACCCCGTCATGCTACGGATCACGTCGTAATGGTCGTCGTGATGGAACAGATAGATGTCGTGGCGGGGTCCTCGAGGCGCAAACTCTTCCCACGGACCGGCGAATCCCACGCATTGCAAATGATGGTAGTAGACGTGCAGACGAATGCCGTCCTCTTTCAAGACGTTTTGCAATTGAGTCAGTTCTTTCAACCCGCAGGGTCCCCACGTCATTCCGGCACGTCGACACCACGGTTCAGATTCTTCCTTCAATACAATTTCAGGCATAGCGTTGAAACGACAATCGGGATGTTGCACCAGCCAAATGGCTGTCGCAATAGCGCGAAACGCGCACCCACCTCCACCCGGATTCTCGTCCGAATCCGCGATCTTCACAACAGATGTTTTTGTTTTGACTAAATCTTCGGCTTGAATGGCGTCGCAACGCACGCTGCGGTTTTYACATCCTCCCGACACCTGGGACAAGGGGTCCCCTCTCTTCTCGCCGCAGATATGGACAGATGTGCGAGGCGAGTAAAAAAAAACATTGACGACAAAATCCTTGATGAGCTTCCACGTGTCGAATCTTGGCCGGATGAAGCAAGAGGTGGAAACTTCCTTCCATTTTGTACAAAAACATGATTTCGTCTTCGTCGCCTTCACCCACAAAAAAATAACGGTCGTCGTTTCCCCAATCCAAGACCACCACGCGGAATCCTTTTTCGCGTCGTAGAACATTGTTTAATCGTTCCAACAGAACCGGGAGTGCTTCGGCTGCTGTGGGGTGAACTTGACTCTCGACCCACTGAACGGAAGCTTGAAAGGCCTTGGAGTCTTTGTTGTGTTTGGTACCGTGTTCTCGCCAGTGTAAGAAATGAGCGGCAGCTTCTTGCATTCCTCCGCACACCACTACCCACCCGCGCGACGCGAGGGTCTTGATCCAGGGCAGGGGTTCTTGAGCTTTGCGCGTGTTGAAGCGTTTCATTTTGGAAAGACCTCGTCCCTCGAGATTTCGGACGTGGTACACTAGGACGGTCATTTCCCCGTTGAGGAAAAAAGCGCGTTTAGATTGGACCACGGCTTCCAAATTGCGCAAAACGCRATCGGGCGTCAGTTGATCAGAAGGCATGAAAGGCATTTGAATGGGGTAATCTAGATCTTTACCGTCAATGATCAATAGGAGTTGATCGGTTTCTTTGACGTCGTTGTCTTGTTTCACGTGATCCACGATGCGCACGATCACTCCCAAAGTGGCCATGACGGCTTCTTTAGCATCGTCTCGCGGACGAAGTTGCACCTGCACTTTGTATTCTTTGGACGTGGTGTGAAATTTCTTACAATTTTTTTCCATGACTTTTTCCACCTGGAACGTGTCGTCTTGAACACTTCGTCAAACAACGACTGGAGAGGATCCTGAAACCCAGAGGTATCCAAAGGGATGAATTCAGTGGTAGGAGCTACCAATTGATTCCACAAAAACTCCATGTTCCGGTCGTAGTCCTCTCCTTCTTCGTCTTCGTCTTCGTCCAGACGTGGACGTTTGGGGGATGTGGCTTCTTCGGGTGACGAGGGGCAACTCATCATGCTTTGTTCCTGGCGATACTCTGGAGAGTCTGGTTGAGGTGTGGAGGGGAAACGAGGAAWAGGAATGGGTGGGGACCAATAACGGGATTCAACTTCTTTTTCGACACAGGCATCGAAAATGTCGGAGTCCCATGGAGTGCGGCATTCTAGTCCCTGACACCCCGTCACCAATTGACTATCCGTCAGTTCTTCTTCATACACTTCGTCTTCYTCGCACACTCCACTCATCAACTGACTATCACTGATCTCCTCTTCGTATTGATCCATCTAAAAATAAAGAGACAGAAGGCTCAACAAACGCCTTTTATTAGTYTTTAACAAAAGAGTTTTTTACAAAAAATGATTAAATATCAACAGGGTATTTATCATCAGGATAGTCCAGAAGTTTCCCAAAGTCCGTTATGATCATAAACTGTAAAAGATGGTTAAAAGCACCGAAASCACGATCCAGTCTGGACTGCCTCCATTCTTCGAACGCCTGTTGGAGAGATTGTCCTTGGAGAGTCGGTTCAWTCTTCTTGGTAGCCTCTTCTAATTCTTTTCTGTAATCAAGGATGCAACAGATAATCTGATGGAAAATGTCATAGACTTTAGCTCGTTCCTCGCCCAACTCTTCCAACCGCTTGAAGTGTTCCTTATAAATCGCCTTACGTTTCTCCAATCCGTCCATACCTAAATAAAAGAGACAATCTCTATTTTATGGGTCTTCAAGTGTTTTTTTATATACAAAGTTATTCTCGAGCTTCAGTCTCGACATTGTCGGATGTGTCAGAGCGTTTCAGAAACTCTTGAAACTCTTGCGAGAACGTAGCACACACTTCAGAAAAGGCGCAAAAGACACCAAGAACTTTAACAACTCTCCATTTTACGAACTTTTCTCTTTTCTCTTCTTCTTCAAAAATGGAGTCAAACTTCCTCATGACCTCTTGGAGATCTTCCAGATACCTCCCCATATCTTGATTAATTTTCTGATGTAAGATATGATTGACTTTGGCACGTTCCTCAACAGTTCCTTCCATACCTAAAAAAGGAAACACGCTTTTAAGTTTTTTTTCCAAAAATGGGGAGTGGTTCCAGACGCGGTTCCGCTTTTGCGAAATCCCAGAAATAGTCGTCGACGGACATGTTCTGCCAAACAGCGTCTTTCAAATTGGGATTCAACCAGGCATGCGATGGGTACGGTGGAGGGTACAAGGATGCGTAGACTGTGGAAACACAAGTATTGCCAATCAGCTCAAATTCGCTCATCTCTTTCCACCTGGGGTAGTTGTGGGTCTTGTAGCAATAGATGAKAAATTCTTCTCGCATCACTTTTAGAATTTGTCTCAAATCGTTGAAACACATAATCCTCGGTTGGCGTCCGCTGATAAGAGCAATCCTCCCGTTGAAAATGACCAACCCGTTTTCAAATTCGATGCGGATGGTGTGCACCACTTTCTTTTGAAAGTACTCACAATAGACAGATTTTTTCTGGAGTCTCAATGATGTGAGAAACGTGCGTCGTTTCTGAGGATCGTCTTCCGCTTCTTCCATGTCATAATAAACGTCATCTAATTTATCACCCATCCAATCCGCTTTTTGGTAAAAGTATTCAGCCTTATTCTTGTCTTCTCTGTCCATGTAGTCCACCAGGAGTCTTGCGTCGCGGAATTYGTATTCAAACMWWKGATCGGGTAAAATGTAAAACCCCACGTTGGAATCTTCCTTGGGAATGCGGTTGGGATGACGGAGATGTTGGAAGGCATAACGTGGCTTGTGTGAAAAAGAGAACACCTCACCTGGCTGAAGCGAGACATAAAAAAAAGGGTCACCTTCTCCATTGAAGAGAGTGACCCCTTTTTTACATTTGTTTATTATGAATACCTATTTTATACATTAATCATCACTATCACATTCCCAATGAATGAGTGGATCGGTCAAGATTCCTTTATCTGCCACCTTGGGGTCCGAGAGTTCGTCGTAGGATGGTGGATCCAAGATGGCGTTCCACAAGTTGTTGTTSTTTCCGTCTTCCCCTTCTTTGTCGTAGAAAACGTGATTCCTAAGGAGCCAACGTCCTACAGCCCAGTAAGGAGGGAAATCCATTTGATTCAATTTGCAGACCTGGTGGATAAGCTTGGGGTCGGTGATCACGGGATAATGCGGATGCGTCTGGCACATCTTTTGAGCACATGAAGTACAATAAACTTCACCCTCTTCGTAGTAATTCGCTGAGAGTAATCCATTTCCCTTTCTCGTGACAGAGGCACGTTCCATAAATCGAGGTTGGTTCCGCATTCTTTGATTACAGACGGCACACGAGTATTTTCAATTTTCTTTTTTGCAGATGGAACATCTATGACACGATTCTCCTTCTTGATAAAAGTGCTGCACGCGACGTCCTTTACTCATGTACAAACATCGGGTGTAAGCTTTCACGTAAAGTTCTGAAGGAACCTCGAAGAGATGTTTAGGAATCGCTTTCTTGCCAAACTGAAGTGCATAATTGTCTATCGTCCTTTTCTTCATCTGAAAAGAACCACACGTTTTTAAAAATCTCCTGATTTTATTATTTTTTAAAACAACTTGTTTCATGCCAAAGTTTGAACGTCTACCGAAAATTCTATAACAGAATCGAAAAGTTCATCCAGAAACAAGTTCATCCACATTTGCATCATGTCCATTTCAAACAACAACGGGTTCTTCATCGTTCTTGATCTTCTTCTTCTTCTGAAGAAAAATTATAAGGAAAGTCATCATCCAAAACGTCCCACTCGATGAGGTGTTTAGCCAGCTGGACTGTGTCTCGACTGTCCTCTAAAGGTCCCAACACAATTCCGTCGATCTTACTCAGTTTCCAATCGTCGTAAGCCACGCATGTGCGCCAGAGATTGTGTGGGGTGACGTCTATCGTTCCTTTCCAAAGTCGGACAATTTCCCGAAACGTGCAATGGGGCAATTGAGTCTCGTCTCCGTCCGATTCCACGTAATTGCGTAATTGGATATAAGCAGGAAACTTACGATACTTGGCTTTCTCTTTTTCGGTCAATTTCCCCCACCAAGGAAAATCATGTTCAATAGGTTTTTTGGAATGTTCTTCCATCACTTACTTTTGTTTAGACAAGTCTCTCTTCCTCCTGCTTCTTGCTCTTCTTTTACACTAGACGAGGCACCTGATGAGAAAAAAGCACAGGGATCCCATCAGAACTTCGATCKKTTAAAAAGAGATACCATCAAATAACATATCAAACAATTGCCTCAGAGAAACATTCATTCGTTTGCCAAACTTTTGCTGACTATATATGGTTATCTTACCTTATAAGGAAGTACGATAGACAGTTTTTTCCACCTTTTAGTGCTTTAAAATGGCTAAAACAGAATTTGCAGAGAAATCGCTTTTCAACATGTCGGCCATTATAATTTTGTCCTAGTCCCCTCCCATCCTTGAAAATAAGGAATCCCACAAAAGACACAGGTAGCCCGCGCGAATGTTAGGCAATTGTTTGATAAGCCATTTTATTTTTGAAAAAAGATTCAATTTTTTGAAAAAAACATTTTATTTTACACATATATTCAACTAGTCTCTTTTTTACAAAACATTAAAGTCCAAGGTAAATTTACCCTTTTTCTTGCGAGGTTTTTTGGGCTCTTTAGATTTACACTCGTTCAAA